TGTTTTTAAAGTTTCTTTGTCTGTTCTTTAGTGAAAACAACGATAATTTCTAAATTCTAAGTTCGCAAATATTTTATAATAAAAAAAATAGCAACACATTGTTTAAATAATTTCTTTTAACGAGTATTTTCTAAGAAATTAAAGTTTAATTCAACAAAAAATTATGCAAGCCACCTAACATAATACGATGGTGTACAAGTCTGTCTTGCCAAATACCAACCTAATTAAATTGAGATTGGAACTAATACTTACCTATTTTTGCTCACAATTTGGCTAGGAAATTGCTAATTTTTATGTGTTGCACTGGCAGTGACTAGTAGAACCCTTCTAGCTCAATAATATTGCAAGCATTATAACAAGGCTTAACTGCTACAGTGCCCCCTGGAACATTGGTCAATTCTCACTTTACCCCCTCAAAGTTAAAGTGACCAACTTTGCCCCATTGACCACGGTTTCATGTTTCACTTTACCACTTTCCGTCAACGCCATCCAAAATTCCGTTAAAATGCTGACGTGGCAGGGGTATATTGGTCAATTCAACTATTCATTTGTTGTAGAAAAAATTCACTTTGATGTTTCATCGTAATACTACCATATGGTGGTTACTAAATCAAATCTTATGACATGGGTGAGACCGGTTTATATTTTAGAACATATTTTTTAATAAAATATACATGTGTTATAATATAAATGAATTAATAATACAACGTGACAATGTTACGATCACCTGAAAATTTGTCTCGACGAGACCTCAAAACAAGTTGATTTCTTATCTCTTAAAAGAAACAATCTTTAGACCCATCCATGCATAACCTATGCCACTAAAAACTGCTCCAAGAAAATGGGTTTTCATGTTATTTGGTCGCGGACTGTTACATTGAGAAGTTTTTCTTATTCTAGTTCGTATTTTTTAAAAAGAAGTCATGATTCAATGAGAAATGAGAAACAATATGAAATATAATTTTGACTTTAAAAAAATAATAAAAATCTATAGGTTTGTTAAAGGATTACATGATTTTGTGTAGAATCAAATGATTGTCCAAAAAAGTACAGAAACATTCATATGTCTAGATTCTTGTTTGTCAAACAAAGTAGGGTAAATATTCAGTTATGCTAAGATACGCTCATATTCGCTCATATTATTATTCTTCTCCAATATGGAGGTATTTATACAAGTATAAAGATATGTTAACCCTAAATAAAATAGGAAATATATCTAAATTACAATAGGAAGTAAATCTCTATTACAATAGGACTAAATAATAATTGGTAAGTAACCAAAATTCTAATGAAATAAGGAACCAAAATCCTAACTAAGTAAGGACTCGCCAACACCCCCCCTCAAGTTGGGCAAAGATATTTCGCACGCCCAACTTGACAAGCGAGTCACAGAACACCATACTTGAGAAGCACCAATTGTAGAGAAGGTCTTTTCGTCAACCACGAGTGAAACAAGTGACAAACTAAAGCAAAGTTCGCAGCGGAAACACAAGAGCAAACCTTAAAAAATAGGGCACATAGCAGAACACAGAAACCCTGTGAGCACGGCAGCGGATAAGGCAGAACACAGAAGCCTTGTGAGCACGACAATAGATAAGGCAGAACACAGAAGCCCTGTGAGCACGGCAGAAGATAAGGCAGATAGCAGAACACAGAAAATAGGGTAAGGCAAGGCAAACACACTAGCAAAGGCATGAGCAACAATACT